ACTTTCTGTCAAAATCCCATTGATGAGTGATAGAATTATAGACAACAACGTATGCGTGCTAGTGGAAACGAAGAGCTCAAGTGCTTCTTTTGTCAAAAACCATAACTCTGTTAAATTTTTCTCTAAAGCACCTACACTATCCTTTCTTCATTTTCCTTCTCTTTTCCCTATAATTTATAAGGCAAATAAAACAAAAATGTCATGCGTATGATCCCTGGATGTCAACTCTCTCAAGGCAATCAATAATTTTGCTTTATTATTAATAGTACAGTTTAAGTTTGTGTCCACCATGAACATAATTCTAATCATCAAAAGCAGATGACAGTCTATTGGAGAGAGTGTAGAAGTGTCACCCTGCTGAATTTAGAGTTTAGCCTTTGGTTTTTCCTGCCAAAACTCTAAGCTCTACTCCAAGGTATTCCAAAACCGATTAACCTACAGAGGAGTTCTAATATTTTTGTCTATTGACCCTTCCTTCCTGTTTCTTGAAAATAGGAAACCCAACCCAGTAATTTGAGCCTACAAAGATCTTATGCTACTTTAAAAAATTAGTTCTCCACCCCATCCTGAAAAGATAACTGACCATTCTTGCCTTGTTCATAAATACTTCTTGTATAGAAAATCTTAGTTTTTAAAATCTACTCTTTATGTTGTAATGGAGAAAGTGCATTTGGGATTTATGACTGCCACATTCACTGAATGCTTCCACAGGGAGCTATTAGACAAGCTATACTAGCTCTCAACTAAATTAGTCAAAGGAAAATACCAGAGCTTTGTAAGAGCTACATATTGTTTAACATGCCAAATAATGCCACACTGAGTTAATTCTTCACTATAAAACTTAAGTTCTATCAGTGAATTAGACATAACTCTACACATAAGCATTCTTACTTGTTCAGAAGTAAATAGAAGGTGGAGAGAAGTTCATGTGTACGTTCTATAAAATTCAAAAAGAAAAATTAATGATGCGAGATCATTGATAAATACAACAGAGCAAGGCACTGTTACTTACCCTGCCATTGTTTAAAATTTGCTGTTTTATTGTGAATTTTTAAATTAATTTTTATTTTTGAAAATATTAATTATAATAATTAACTTTATTGTGGGTTTTGGCACCGTTTCACAATTTGCAGCCACACTCACATGTGTGCCCTGCATGTTTCAGTCTGTTGGGGCTGAGTCACCATGCGAGATCTGGCTCCTCTTTAGCAGCACAGCGCCACTACACTGTGGTGTTGGCCTAGTTTATTACCATGGTTTTCTATGATTTTCTTTTTTCCTGAAGGAGTTGTGAACATATGAGTAGATTTCTCTGGAACTTTTATATCTAGCATTCCAGAGTCTGTTTATTAAATATACTGATATAAAACTTAAGAAAAAAATTAGAAGAGACAATAACATGAACAGCTGTGTTTATCATTCTTCTGACCCCAACGATGGCTAATTAATATATTTCTTAAAACAAGACCTGATAAAATGTCCTCTTTTATTCCTAGTTCTCTGTTAATAGCAGTGACAGATCATTTAACAAGTTAGTTATACAGTGATTTTCTGACAATCATTTCTGGATGACTAGTATAGAAAATGGGCTTCTACTCTTGAAAAGATTTTATAGGTACCTGGCTTCTCACATAAGCTTCATTATTTTTAAAATAACTGGACTGATTTATATAATCTACAATATAATCTTTAGTACTAAATAGCTATCTCTTTTTTTGGTCATTTGATTTCCTGTATTACAGCTTTCATATCTAACAGTTCCACTTGATTCTTTTTTTAATAACTATTTATTTTATTTTATTTATTCATTTATTTATTTTCTAATTTGACCAGAGAGAGACAGAGGGTGAGAGTGAGAGAGAGAGGAAGTGAGAAAGCAAGCCACCAGAGTCAGGACTCAATCTCTGGTCAGCCATGTTACCCCCAACCCCCCCTGCTGGTCCCATTGTTTGATTTTTTTTTTTTTTATGGTGTCCAATTCTTCTTTGGAAGAACTTCCAAAGTGGAAGTGGAAGAACTTCCTCATCTCTTTTTTTTTTTTTTTCATGCCTCTTCAACCCTGATTTTAATTTGCGAAGAAAATTTGAGGCCATAGTCAAGATCTTAAGATCAGGGTTGAAGGGGCATGAATCATCATGAACGAGAAGGAGGACAGTGTGTGTTTACAGGGATGCCACGTTTGAGACTGTGGGACATAATGGAATAAGTAACTGAATCTAGAAATTTTAGGAAAGAAAATCAAGACAGAGAAACAGGAAGGCAGCTGCAGAGGCACAATGGTGGTGCACTGCTGTGTGGCGTGATACTGGAGACACATGACAAGTCCCAGGATTTGGATGCCAGATTGAGCTAAACATATCAGACAGACTTATTGCCCTGCTGGCTGGAAAGCTGGAAAAGGAATATGGCATGACAAGACCTTGTAGTGGATAACTTTTTGTTTCTCTTTTAAAATTATTTATTTAATTTTACTTATTATTATTACTATTAATTTTCTATAGGGCACATGTGCTCACCAGAAAAAGACAGAGAGAGTGAGAGAAAGTGAAAAAGCAAGCTGCCAGGTCCAGGACATGAGCTGTTTGGGGCTAGGTTGGAGTTCAGCACCTTAGCTCACTAGAAAGAGAGAGAGTGAGAGAAAGCGAAAAAGCAAGCTGCCAGGTCCGGGACTCGAACTATTTTGGGCTAGGTTGGAGTTCAGCACCTTAACCACCATACCAACTGCTGGCTCCCTGAATAGCTATCTTAATCATGAATCAAGTAAAACTATTTCATGAAAATTCTTCATGTTATCAGCTTCCTCTCTTCCCTTCCATTATTTTGGCCAAAAATAAATAAATAAGTAATATAGATATACATGTGGTGTTTTTGCAAAACATACCTGTAATGTAGCATTTGCCTCTTGATGTCTTAGTTTTACTCTAATCCTAGACTTTTGGATTATTGAATTAAGTTACCCTAACCCACAGAAAAATGAAATACAGATGAGAAATATTAAAATGGATTTTTACTGCACCTAATATATAATATTAAAGTTTAAAAACAAGTGCCTTTACTAACCCAGAAGACCTCTGTGATTTGACTCTTACAAATACTTAAAACTTAATCTCTCAGATTTACTCACACTTCTACCATTCAGATTTCTTTTACATTTTTTAAGTATAAAGAGTTTATTCCCTCATTATGTATAACTACCACACACCCAATTGCATATAATAATACCAGAAAAATTAAAGGCACTTAGGAAAACACAGTATTTATTAAATAACTAAGTTCAAGTCACAATTTTTAAATTCTCATGTGCTAATTATTAAATATACTCAGCAGATCACATGCCGTCTCAATAACCTTTTCATAGAAGCTTTTACTTCCTGGTTTCGAAGTGTATAAATCACAGGATTCATCAAAGGAAAGATCACTGTGTGAAAGAAGGAAACCACCTTGTCAACTGGTAAGGTCCTAAATGGGCGTGTATAGATGAAGATGGCAGGCCCAAACATGAGAAGTATAATAATGATATGAGTGGTGCATGTAGACATGGCCTTGTTCCTCCCTTCAGAAGCTGACTTACGAACATGGCAGAAGATGACTGAGTAGGAGGCCAGAAGCCCCAGGAAGCACAGGAGTGTCATCAGGCCACTGTTAAAGACAATCAGAAGCTCCACCACAAACGTCAGTGCAGGCCAGCTTGATGACCTGCGGGACATCACAGAAGAAGTTATCCAGCTGGTTTGGACCACAGAAAGGCAAGCGGAGAATGAGGGCCACCTGGATAATGGAGTGGACAAAGCCTCCAAACCACAGAATCAGCACCATTGCATAGCAGGCTCTAGGGTTCATGACAGTTGAATAGTGTAAAGGCCTGCAGATGGCGATGTAGCGGTCAAAGGCCATCACCACTAGAAGTAACCCCTCCCCTCCTCCAAGGAAGTGCAAGAAAAAGAGCTGAGTGATGCAGCCTCTGTAGGAGATTACCTTCTTCTCAGAGAGAAAGTCCACCAGCATCCTGGGGGCCACAATGAAGGAGTAGGAGGCGTCCAGGAAGGCCAAGTTGCCCAGGAAGAAATAGAGGGGTACTGAGAGTCTGGGGTCTGATCTGATGGTGAAGATGATGAGAAAATTTCCAGGGAGGATGATGAAGTAGAAAATGAGGATGAGCACGAAGACCAGGAGCTGAATACCTCGGGACTGGGTCAGACCAAGGAGGATGAATTCTTTCACTTCTGTGCTGTTCTCATATTCCATATCGCTGACCTGTGAGACATCAAGAACCACAAGTTACTGTTAATAATACGTCTTAAATCTAGATCCTAGTTCTTCTTCTGCTATTAAGAAAATCACTTCTCAACTCTCTCCAGTATCTGAGTAAACTCCATTCCCTTCATTCTTCCAATTTGCAATGAACGAAGAAACAGTTCTCAAAGCCAGTCTTAGTTCTGTTCAGTCAAGTGCTTCCTCAGAAATGCTCTCCACTGTGGGAGTCTGGCATCCTCCTCCTTGTGATTCCTACACTCCTACATCATAAAAGAACTATAGTTGAGATACAACATAACTTTAATTATCAAGGATTTTAGTTGTTGTGGATGCACTGACCTTGAGGTTTAGTTCTTTTCTTGGGTTCCTTTCTCCTCCATCCACACAGGCCAAAATTTTTGCTAAGTATTTCCTTCCTTCAGTTTCTAGGGAATGTCAAGTTTCTTGCTAAGAACTATCTTTCCTACCCTTCATGTTCCCTTATTAATTTATATCGTATTGTACTCCTTCTGGTCTGCTCTCTTTGTACATTTGACCAAAAACTGTTCACGGGGATCCCAAACAATGACTCTACCTTCCCCCCAACTTGGAGGTAGTCCCACTATCTGTAATCCTGGTTGAAAACACCACATTTGTGGCCACACCCCATCCTTGTACATACAACCTAATTAGCACTGTTGGAGTCTCAAATACCTACATACTCAAAGCCTGCCTCTTCTTTGTTTTCATTATGATACCCATAGTGGAGCTTCTAACCTAACAACATGGAAGCAACCATAAAGATATTGCCATCTAATTCTGTCACTACAAGGATGAAAAGAACAAATTAAAATAGTTACAGTTCTTAAATTTAGAATGACTTTTATTTTTTGTGAATTGATAAGTACTAGAATAAGGCAGATATACATTATAGAGTTCAAATAGATTTTAAAATTTTCAATCACAACTTTCATCAATCAATGCTCTTTTTGGTGTATGTACATGAATAATTAAAAATAATCTTAGTTGTCTAAAATCACCTCTCTACCGTGTTTAGAAATAGTAGTCTATCATTGTCTAAATGAAAAGAATATTATACATTGCAGAGAAAATTCAGGTTGAAAGCTCAGTGTCTTTAGTGGGATTGGCTCATTCTAGAAGCCACACATGAAGATCCATTGAGTATTGGAAAAAATAGTTATATATACGTATACACATATAGACACACTCTACACATACGAAGAGTAAATCTTCATAAAGTTCATGTAAAATCTGTGTTAAGAAAAACCTATGCATGATTTTTAAAAATTTTACACGAAATAAACTTCAGTTAACTTTAATTTCATTTGTACATAAACATGTTGAAGTCTCTGAATTATTACATGTATATCATTAGATATACACACACATACATCACTGAATTTAATTCTTTGCAAAATGCTACATTTTTAATATTTATAATTTATACTACATTGGTACAATGGTGTATATACGATCTATAAATAAATAAATATCTACTTAAGGCATATACTTAAGAATATTTTGTTACAGGGATAAAAATATCTCATGGTTTAAAAATTGCCGGCAAACCATAAAATACAACAATGTACTATATAACAATATTCTTCTTGCCTTTTAACTAAACTACCCACTTGATTTCTTTTTTTTTCTTTTTGGAGAGGTTTTTGCTATAGGGTGCGTGCGCTCGCCAGACAGAGAGAGACACAGAGACAGCAAGCAG